CTCCTCCTTCTCCTCCTCCTCATCCTCCTCTTCCTCCTCCGTTTCCGCCTCCACCTCTTCCGCCTCCTCTTCCTCCGCTTCTGCTTCCGCCTCTTCCTTCTCCTGCGCGCGGCAGCTGACGCAGGTCGGAGGGTACCCCCCGGCACTGGCCCAGAGAGATTGGGAAAGAGAAAATCGGCTACGTGTAGGGTTTCGGGTTTAGGGTCTAGGGCCAGCAAGAGCGCGGAGACAGGCGCGGTGCTCACATCCCACCCATCCTGGAAGCCCACTGCATGTGAAGGCACACATTTCTGGTGCATGCAAGCCAACGGGGAAGGCCGCTTGGAGCAGGGAGGAGCAGCGAGGGGCATCAGGGAGGAGCAGCAGCTGGGGGCGCGCGGCGGTCTCTGCAAAGCGAGCGCCGCCCTCGAACAGGCGCCGCGTGGGCGAAATGTGCCCCGCACTAGATTTTCCGTGGACGATAAAGGCGCAGAATAGCCACGCGGGTGGGATATGCCCCACGCCACATGTTTAATACAGACGTGAGGGGCAAGGAATGAGCTTCCTTCGGCGGCGCGCGCGCGGGGTGTAGCCCGCGCCACTCTTTTGATGGAGGATCGTGCGAGTTAGGGAATTCACTAGCTTCGCATACCGATGTGCGCCGCACCACGTTTTTGATTGATGATCGTGACGAGTTTAGGAATCAGCCCCCCAAGGGGGGAACCACGGAGCACTTGTCACACCGAGCGCGTTCCACTAGTCGCAAGTGCCTACTCACAAGCGTCCGAGAAAGATGTCTTCCTCTATGTAGTGGAGCGTAAGTCCCCCACGGCGGATTCAGGCCATTTGCGAGTAGCTACTTTGAGAGTAGTGGGAACGCGGTCGTCCACACACGTCAGAGAGTAAGGGCGAGGTCTAATCGCAGTGGAACGGAGAGCCCCCCACACCAGGAAGTCAGTTTCGGTTTCGGTGTCGCGTTCGTGTCGCGAGGGCGAGCGAGGCGGAGCTGCGCGGGCGCGCGAGAGGACTGGCCCCGCCGTCGCTACGCGATTCGGCTCGGAAGAAAAGTTCGGCTACACGTACCCGCCGGTTGTTGAAAGTAAGTATTTCTCGACCCCCTGATCCCAATCTTCTTTAGGCGTCTTCTTACTTCAGTGATCGAGTGGTTTCACATTTTGTCCGTCCTCTTTTGGGAGCGGGCGAACGCCCAATCTATTTCCAACGCCTTCTTACTTCATGTTTTTACCCATTTGTTCGGAGCACGGCTACACGTGAGCGTGAGTGTGACGGCTATTGAGAGATTGGGAAGGAGGCGTTCGGCTACACGTGAGCGTGACCTTTCACCGGAGTGGCCTTTGATCCCAAACCCCTCGGGTCATAGCTAAAAATCACGACGGGAGGTTTTCATTATATTCGGTTTCTGGGAGCCCTTACCGGGCCTCGGGACCGTCCAAAAACGACTCAGGATAAGAAGCCAGCCCCAGGGAATGCGTCGAGACTTTTCGAGGTCGACGTCATAAAAAGATCATAAGGTCGGGGTTTTGTGGTCCTGGCCCAGTGGGGCCCCCCAGATGGCTGAACGCGATGCGACAGCAGCGGCTTGTGCGCTCGGGTTCGGCCTCCTCCTCCTCCTCCTCCTCCTCCTCCACCTCCTCCTCCTCCTCCTCCCCCTCCTCCCCCTCCTCCCCCTCCTACCCCTCCTCCTCCTCCTCCTCCTCCTCCTCCTCCTCCTCCTCCTCCTCCTCCTCCTCCTCCTCCTCCTCCTCCTCCTCCCATCCCCCTCCTCAGTCCCCGAAGGTCCCGCGCCAAAGGTCTCCCCTGCCTGGGGCCGCTCTTGCGGGCAGCCGACAGGTCTCGAGCCCCTGCGGGGGAAGTATTTCGAGCCCCTGCCCCTGCGGCCCGCGGCCCCCCGGCGATTCTCGCGCCGCGCGCGGCTTTTTTGGCCACGCTGGGCCTCCTCCGCTGAGGCCCTGGCGGGGCCCCCAGGCTGTCAAGAGCACGGCGGTTCCCCAGAGGCGCAACAGCCTTCGGTTTACACGCCGGTCGTTGAAAGTATGTTTTTTGGGGATTCCCAGGTCCCAGTCTACTTCAAGCGCCTTCCTACTTCAAGAATCGACACGCTTTTGCTGTGTTTTGTTATTCTCGGGGAGGGCCTGGACCCAATCCACTTAATCCGCCTTCCTACTTCATGCTTTTACTTACTTCTTTCGACCGACGTGTAAAGGAGAGCGTCTGTTTTCGGTTATGTGGTTTGAAATAGACGACAACGGCTCTCGCCGTTTCCAATAAACAACCTTATCTGTTGTAGCGAGTCCTTTCGAGCAAGAGTGGCGGCAGAGTCTGATTATGTTGGCGCGTTCGATCTCTCTGTCGGTCCTTTTAGGGCGTCTAATGTTTGGGCCCCTTAATCGCGGCGGCGGGGGCTGGGCGAGGGTGAACAGAGCAACAAGGACGAAAGGGTGGAGCGAAGGAGGGAGGGAGGGAGCAACAAGGGCGAAAGGGTGGAGCGAGGAGGGAGGGAGGGAGGGAGGGAGGGAGAGAGGGAGGACAGTGGAGCAGAAGGTGGGGGGGGGGGGCTTCGTCTCACGCTCGGGTGTTGCCAGAAGTGCCCCTGGCCCAAGGTGCTCCCAGGATTTCCAAGGAGGCCCCCACTGCCTCCAGAGCACCCCTCAAGAGGCCCAGAGGGTTCCAAAATCGAGCGAAAAGCTGGGGACACCTTGGGCCAGGGGCAGCTGCCCAGGCCCCCGACGTCATGATTTGTGTCATGACGTCGAACCCCGCAGGCCTCGACCCGTTCTCCAGGGCCGGCCTGCCGTCCCGAGTGGTTCCTGGACGGCCCCAGGGCCTGGCGAGGGCCCTCAGAAGCCGCAGGTGGTGCAGAGCTTCCCGTCGCGATCCTGCTCCTCCTCCTCCTCCTCCTCTCTCCTCCTCCTCCTCCTCCTCCTCCTCCTCCTCCTCTCTCCTCCTCCCTCCCTCTCCTCCTCCTCCTCCTCCGCTCATGCCTCGAGGGGTCTGGGGCCTCCGGGGCCAGCGGCACCTCTCGCACCCCACGATGGGGGGTCGCCTGGGCTGCTCGCACCGGCCGGCCGCCCCGCGCGCCAGGCGAGCGCGTCGCCGCCGGCCGCCCAGCCGGCCCGCGGCCCCGCCGAGGGCAGCGTGGGCGCCGGCGCGGGGCGCGCGCCGCCGCTCGCGGCCGGAGCGGCGGCGGCGCTCGTGGCGCGCGCGGGCGCGCGGCGGTGGCGCCGCGGGGGCTGCGGGCTGCTCGCGTCGAGGAGAGGCCTGCGCCGCCCTGCCCAGGCTCACGCAGCCGCCGAGCCTTGGGGGGATGGGCTCCAGGGGGGAGGGGGTGCCCACCCCTGGATTCGGTCCCAGACCTCCAACGCATTGAAAAAATCAAGAGGTTTTTCGATGTTCGGCCTCTAGGGGCTCTCGCCGGGCCCCGGGACCGTCAAGAAACAACTCAGGATGAAGAACCGGTCCGGGGGAATGGGTCGAGACTTCAGGGGACCGCGCATTGAAAGAATCACGACGTCGGATCTCTGGGGTTGGGCGGCGTAAGAAAAAGCGTGGTGGGCTGCGCCCCGCCATTGGCGCGCAAGCTGCCCGCGCACGGTCGCGCGTGAGCGCCCTCGTTCCAAGCGTGGCGTGCCGCGCTGGCGGGCCGCGTAAGCCTCAGCGCGAGGTCGCCGTGCCATCTCGCGCGCAAGACCCAGCATGGATCGTCGCTCGGTGCTCGGCGGCGTCACAGCCTCGGGATGCCCATCAGCAGCTGCGCCTCGCCGAGGGCGTTCCAGGGGGTGCCAGGGTGAAGGCGGGCCTGTCCCTCTACAGGAGGGGTATTCAAAAATAGTCAAAAGATTGTATGGGGGCGAATTGGTTTGTATGTTTGAATATGTGCTGGGTATTGTTTTTGACTATCTTTTATTTGTTCGTCCAAAATCCTGTAGGTGGACGTGCCCGATTGAATGCCAGGATTGTCCCGAGCGGCCGCCCGAGAGCCGAGCGGTGGCTCGAGAGCCACAGGGTGCGGGGGATGTGGGCCGGCGTTCTCGCGCTGTAGGGGGGGGCGGTCGCGTGGACCGCGCTGGGCATCGCGGGCCCGCCCTGTCCATGCTCACGCAGCCGGCCGACCCCTGGGCGCAGGGGCAGCGATAGTCAGGCAGTGGCGAAGCGTCTTGGCTGCCCCATAAGCCCACCAAACAATGTTCTTAGCCCCTTGTGTGGTCTGCCCGAAATTTTACTTGATCATGGTTGGCTGGGGCTGTCTTGTTTTAGCACATCGGGCTTGAGTTCTAAGAGCAGTGTTTTTGTTATTAGAACAGCTTGGGGTTCTAAGAACATGTCGTGGTAGGCCTATAGGAATGTCGGGACGGTAGGGCCCTGCTCAAGATGATATCAACGCGCGTAGTATGGCTGCAAGTCGGGCATGTCCTTCTGCAGGAGGAATGTTCAAAAATGGTCCAAGAATCGTCTGGGGACGATTATTATTCGATTCTGGTTTGACAATTGTTGAGCATGTTTTTTGGAAGAGTATTCACTTTCGTCCAAAATCCGCATGCAGGGGGACATGCCCGACTTAATAGTAAGGACGCGCGCCTTTCCTAAGGTACCCTTGTGTCCTTGCCTGTGCGGCCCGTCCTTTGCCGCTTCCACTGGCCAGCCTCTCAGGGTACCCTTGGGGTTTGGTCGCCCGCCGCCCCAAAAATCCAAACTTCCGCCTCCAAGGGTCTTGCGTCCTTGCCGTCCTTACTGTACGTTTTCACTGTAGGGGGGGGCGGGCATGTGGGGGAAGCATCGACCCCCAATGGCCGATGGATCGCCAACAGGGGTCTGATAGCCCTAACCTGCCCAGGAACTTGCGGATTCACTATCGGGGGCTGCGGGTTGCTCGCCTCTCCCTCCTCCTCCTCCTCCTCCTCCTCCTCCTCTCCTCCTCCTCCTCCTCCTCCTCCTCCTCCTCCTCCTCCTCCTCCGCCTCCCCCTCCTCCTCCTCCTCCTCCTCCTCCTCCTCCTCCTCCTCCTCCTCCTCCTCCTCCTCCTCCTCCTCCTCGTCCTCCGGCGCGCGGACGAGCGACGGGTCCCGTTTCCACGCAGAACCAGCGCGCTTCGGCGCCAGATCGCCGTCAGGCCGGGGAATTTTCAGAGTACCCGCCACGGTGGGCAAGCCGCGCTGCCTGGGCCCACCCGCTCCGCTAGGGTGTACAGAGTGGTCAGTGTTATGATCATCATGTCCTCCTAGGGTACAGTTCAGTGAAAGTGGGGAAAAAATGGTTCGGGCGGTTCTAAGATAAGTGGTGGTTTGTATGGTAGATTTAATGTTAAAAGCGTTTGTATGTTAGACTATTTCGTCGTAGGGATAAGTTTCTGAGAGGGCCCCCGTAGTGGCCACGTGCAGCATAGGCCCCGAGCGGGCCCAGGTTAGACAGATCCCCCACAAACGCATCCCAGAGGATTCCTGAGACGGTCCCGATATCCAGCCCGACGCGTAGTGCGCATTAGGCCCGCTCGGGTCTCGTTTCGATCCCACGCGGTAGCCGCGCGAGGAGCGGGAGTCCAGGGTCCACGTCCAGGGAGCAGCCCTCGTAGAGCCGTCGTAGATCCGAACCGAGGTTCTTAGCTTACGTGAAAAAACTACATGCGGGGGTTGATCGGCACGGGGGGAGGAGGGAGGATGGTGGGGATAGACTCCAGGAAAGAGGACGGGGAGGAGGGACAACTGGAAAGGGAACGAAGGCGGAGGAGGGGCAGGACAAACGACGAGTGAGGGGGTTGAGTAGACGGGGGAGGGTGAGGAGGAGGCGCTCGCCCGCCGCTGGAACCCCCCTGGGCCACGACTTCGGCGAGATAGGGAGGGGCAGTAGGTCATGGTATCCTGATTGCCCTCTTTTTCCTGTTGCTGTTGTTTTTGCCTCCCCCTCCTCCCGCCTTCCGTTCTTACTCCGCCATTGCCCCCCGTCGTGTGTTGCAGCTTACCCCCTTGATGACCTCGTCGTCGCGAGCGCTTGCGCCACAATGGGAACCCCGCCCCAAAACCGCGCCCCCCCCCTCCTCAACATCAATTCCTGGGTTTGTCATCGGGCGCGTTTTGACCAGGAGTCCGATGCGGGTCCAGCCGTGGCGGCGAGGGGCGGCCCCAGGAGGCTCAGAGACAACTTATTGCGCCTCTGCCTTCTGCCACCCTCCTGCCTCTCCGTCCCGCCCGTTCGGCTCGAGGGGGTGCCATCCAGTGTAGTTGTCTCGGGCGGAGGCGAGGCAATGTCGGCCATGGCCGACTCCTGGGGGCCTTTTGAGGCCTTGCTCCCAGTTACGCCCCCGCCTTCTCAGAGGACCAGGCCCGAGAGCACGCCGTGGCAGCCAGGTATGTTCGTCCCGACTTCCTCCAGCGGCACTGGTCTGTTCGATGGTCCGAATATCTACACGGAAAGCATCTTTCAGCGAGTGATGGAGGCTGCGTTTCAGAGGTATGTGAAACAACTGCCCAAGCGTAGGATGCGTGGTAGGTTGCACCCCTGTCGTGTATGGCTCCCGAAGTTGGGCAGTAAGGCAGCGCAGACGGTAGCTGTGAGAGATGTTGAGGCTTCGCGTGTGGACGATGTGATTATCATCGATTAGGGTGTGCACTATTCAGCTTCCTTTTTAATGCATTTGATTGCGTGCTGCCAGGGTGTGCTCAGCTCGCTTAGGAGTTCGGCGTTCGAGCCATGGGTAAAACCAACATTGAACGGGCTTGTCATCGTCCCGTCTTGGATGTACCCTACCCTCTCACCGTCGTCGTCGTCGTCGTCGTCGTCGTCGTCGTCGTCGCCGCCGTCGTCGTCGTCGTCGTCGTCGTCGTCGTCGTCGTCGTCGTCCTCGTCGTCGTCGTCGGCGTTGTCGTCGTCGTCGTCGCCGTCGTCGTCCTCGTCGTCCTCGTCGGCCTCGTCGTGACGATGGTTCTGAGGGTGCCTTAGGTTCGGGGGCTCCTCCCAGAGATCCCATTGGACCCCCTAGCGGGTCTGCGTTGCCACGCGGGGCCTGATCGCGTCACCCCGTGGAGTCTGATTGTTCCAGAGTGGGAGGTGCCCCAGGTCGATCGGTAGCGAGCGGATTCCTTATCCAACATCGCCGCCTGTGGTTGGCATCCTCTATCGTTGGCTGGTTCGGGGCGCCCCCTATCAATGCTCATGGGCCCACTCCGTAGCCAGTTTGGCTCAAACTATGCGCGCTTGTCACCTCGGACTCTGCCTCCTGGTGCTCGTCCACACCAGCGGGCATGCGGGCCGCGCGGCGGCCCGGCCGATGCCGATAGGCGTCGGCGGCGGCCCCGCCGCCGAGGCAGCCCCTGGGCGGGGCGCCGCGCCTGTCGGCCGCGGACGGGCAGCGGCGGCTGGCGGCCGCGGCGGCGGCCGAGCTGGCAGAGGAGGGGGGCGCGGCCGCGCCGTCGCCAGGCGGCCCGCTGCGGTTGCGAGGCGCCCCGCGGCGGCCTCGGCCGAGGGCGCCGAGCCGCCCCCAGAGAAGAAGCTGCGGACGCCCACGCTCGGCAAGTACGCCGGCACAGTGCTGGGCAGCATCCTTGAGGGCGATGCGTTCCCAGGCGCGCCGAGCCCGCTGCTACCTCTCTTCGACTCGTGGTTGGAGGCTGCTGGTCGCGACGACTGCGAGGTTGATGATGACACGCTGCGTTTTCTGAGCAGTCGGTTTGACCCCTCGCAGAAGGCGCCCATCTCAGCTATCAGCGAGCTCAGTAGAACTTCGGCATCGACGCGATGCAAGTGAGAAATAGGGCGATGGACGCTGCATGCTTGGCATCACTTGCAGATCGCAGGGAGAGGCGCCGACTTGACCTTGCACTCACCAGTTGCAACGCTCCAGGCAGCCCAGTGGAGATCCAGCCGATGCACTACGGCGAGTTCCTGATGCACGACGAGTCGCCGCACACGCTGAGGTTCAATGACTTCTTTAGGTCGGGCGGGCGGCACCGCTTGTTGGAGGCAGTCGCCCTGGCTTGTCCTGGGGCGGTCGAGGGCGATGCGATCGTTTCGAAATTGCCGATGAAGCTGGCTGCCCTAGCTTCGTCCGAGGTCGGCCCGATGAAGCTGCTCCAGATCAGGACAGAGTACGCGATGCTGCTGCGCATCAAGGACAACAGGAGGCACGGCGCGATCTCCTACTGCATGGTCTCTGGCGAGCAGCCGAACCCTTTGCAGCTCATCGACCGTTGCACTGGCGAGAACTGCAGGCAGTGCTTGAACAACGCGAGCGGGGCCCCCCTACGGACGAAGGCGTTCGAGCAACGCTTTCGAGGCACGTGCCTGGACAGGGCCCCCACCAACGCGAAGACTGAGCGAGGCGTTCGCGTGATGGACGCCCCGCTCGACCAACACTTGAACCTGGACTGCAGTGCGCACGTTTCCATGACCATCAAGTCGCATTTGTTTTCGGCGCTGAAGCCTACCATCGTCGGCATGAAACGATGCGCAGCTTCCTTGAGGGCGTTAGGGTCCATGATGTATTTCAGGAAGATGTTTAAGATAGTCGTGAAGCCGCTCATCGACATAAAGTACGGGGAGTGCCCGCCCGATGCAACGTTGCATCGCATGAGGTGCATCAGGCTTTTCTCAACGAGTCTGCAGTGCTCAGTCCCGAAGCTGGTCGCGAGGCACATGTTCCCGAACGGCGACTGGCGCGAAAGGGCCACGATACCAGTGCACGTGTCTGGCACCGCGGAGGACTACACCGCAGCGCAGATCCAGGAGAGGAAGGCATTGATCGTGGAGGGGTTGTGCTACGCATTTTGCAGCAGGGCCCCCGACAACTTCGCGGAGCACCACTGGACTGGCCACACCGAGTGCACGTGCGCATTCGGGATGCTGGAGGCGTGCAACGGCATCCTCCGCCATGTGTACGAGGCCTGGGCCAGCAGCAAAGGTACTAGGCGTCGCCGAGGCGCCGCTGGAGTTGACGGCGGGCCAGCCGCGGCTGCGGCGCCCGCGGGCGCAGCTGCGCCAGAGGCTGGGGCTGGTGGGCAGCTGGTTCCATATGTGCCGCCCGCTGCTGGGCCCGCGGAGGCTGGGCGCACCCCTGCCCAGGCGCAAGAGGAGCAGAACTCGGTTGATCGGCAGATCGCCCTGGACTGGATCTTGTCAGAGCCCTCCTTCGACCTCATGCTGATGAGGCTGGCGCTCACAATTCTGGCACCACTAGACCACGTCGGACTGACGATGTCAGGCGAAGCTTGGGAGAGTGAGCAGCGCCACAAGGTATCGCAGGCTCTCGCTGGAGGGCTCCCCATGGCGGACGCGATGGCCCAGAGGCAGTTTCGCATCACGGTTGCCGCCAGGGGCGCTGCTGAGGCGAGCGCCTTGAGCAAGCTCCGCTACATGTTCGACGAGGACGAGTTCTGGACCATCCTCCCGCCGAAGTACCACAACGAGCGCTGCGCGTGCAAGGTGTTTAAGCTCTTCAGCCGCCTCGGCGCATTGATAGAGGAGCTTTGGGCATCTGGCAATCGCTCGGCGGACGTGGCTCTCTTTCGGCTTACACACGAGCCACATCGCCTGGCAGAGGTTCGGGCTTGTCGGCATCGGGACTACTGCCTGTACGGGACGTTCGGCAGGCAGTTCTTGGACTCGAACCTGGACGTTGACGATGAGAAGGAGATCATTGTGCGGTTGGCGTTCGTGGCAATGATGGTTCGCACATCGATGGCTCCTGTTGAGGCTGGTTGGGCGTACGTGCGCCGATTGTGCAAGAGACTCGGTTGCCAGACGCACCAGCAGGAGCTTGGTTATATATCAGCATGTTGGGTTATGAGTCGGTTCCGATCGCTCTTGGATCACGACCTCACGTTGCAGTCGAAGTCCCAGCTGCCCGCACGCGTGATGAGACAGCGTGACGGCGACGAAGGCGACGGCGGGGACAACGAGGAGGAGCCCTCGCTTGGCTGGTGCGGGCCATGGAGGGCGTTCGTGGCCGAGAGCGACGTCGGCATGTTCCGCGACTTCCACGAGCTGGGTGCCAGGTACAGGGAGATCAAGGCTAACGACCCAGTCGCTTTCGCAGCGCTGCAGGCGTCGGGGGAGCAGGCAGCGGCAAGGCGTCGCGCTGGTGATCAGCGGCCTTTCGGCCCTACCAAGCGTGATCTGGACAGGGAGGCCCTCGTGAATAGACAGGAGGCCCGAAGGAAGCAGATGGAAGACCGACTCAGCGGGCGCCTTGATGACGACGATGGGGACTTCAGGGTCGACATGGCGGAGGCGATCGCCCAGGGCGGCGGCTCCTTCGAGGCGTCTCTGCAGGCCGCTCGGGAGGACGCGAGGTGGTTCGGCAGGTTGAAGGCTGAGGATGAGCGGCAGATGAAGACGGACCTCCTGAACTACAGCGTGCAGCAATCGGGCGAGCTAGGGCGGGCAATGTTCGGGGCTGCCCGTGAGACGGCGCCGCTGATCGGCCAGCTTGGCACGGTGCCGTCGGCCATGGAGGGCCTCTCGCACATGTGCTACCAGAGCCAGGCTGCAGCGCGGGCGACGTGCGTCGCTGCCCTGGTGGCCAGCGCGCGCACCGCCGATGGGAAGACAGCGATGCCGCTGCTCGGGGCAGACTGGGGTCGGAAGCACAGCATGAAGATGCACGCTACGGCCGAACCGATCAAGAAAGAGACGGCAGCAGAGAAACGTCAGTGGCGCTGTGCTCGGGCTGGCGTTCACCTGTGCGGCGTCGGCGGCGGTCGGACGTGGGCGTTCAGGAACTCCATCCTGAGGTTTCTCAAAGTGAGGTGCCCCAAGGAGTCCACCATGAGGAAGATGCTGGTCGACGGGGGCCTCATCATGTGCGTGCTGAGGGTCCCAGCAGAGCCAGCAGACCACGGTGCGCCCTTGAACTTCGAGGCGGACGGGGTCGTGTGCTCCTACTTCCACTTGGCCGTCCACTACCGGAACCCGTACCGCCCGACCTTGCAGACCATGGTCCGCCTGCGCTGGGATGGCGAGGACGCGCACTTGAAGGCTGCGGGAACTCGAGGGGGGAGGGGGAAGGAGGAGGATGGAGGATGCGGGGGGATAGGGCGGGGGGAGGAGGACGAGGGCGAGGAGGGAGGGGGAGGGAGGATGAGGGAGGGAGGATGGGTGAGGCGACGACTGGAGGACGGATGGGGGAGGAAGAGGCGACGACCGACGACCGACGGCTGGAGGATGGTGGGAGGGGGCAGGGATGAGGATTGATGGGGGAGGAGGGATGATGATGGAGGGAGGGGTGAGCAGGAGGAGGAGTGGGAGAGGAGGAAGAGTGAGGTTGGAGGAAGGAAGGAGGAGGGAGTGAGGAGGAGGCGGCGACTGACGACTGGCGAAGGGAGGAGGGGAGGAGTAGGATGGAGGATGATGGATGACGAGGAGCAGGATCAGGAGGAAGATGATGGAGGAGGGAGTGAGGATGAGGAGGGAGGAGGGTGAGGAGGGAGATGAGGATGGAGTGATGCTGAGGACGAGGAGGTTATGAATGAGCCCATCCCGCCCCGCACCCGAAGGCTGCTCTGGAGTGGCAGACGCTCTTCCGCGCGGCCGACCAGACGGGCGTGCAGTGCGACGACGTGCACCTCGGCCAGCTGTTCGTGCTGCAGGAGCGCGGCCTGCTCCGCGGCCTCCTCAGGCCGAGCGAGGTCGCGGCGCGCTTGCCCGTCGCCGAAGGCAGGCGGTGGTTTCGGTTGTGGCCACCCCAGGGGGCCGCGCTCGACGAGGACGACGACTCCGAGGGGCACGAGTCGGGTCACGACGAGGAGGTTCATGGGGGTTCACGTGTGCAAGCTTAGCCCATAGGAGCTCTTACTCGGCGTCTCGTGGGGGGGCTGGTCCGCGTGTGCCATGTTGGGGTTCAGCGTAGGCTAGCGCGTTCCTTCCAGGTAGGCTGGCGCCCCCTTCCAGCCCTTGTCGGGCTGCCGCGGTGCCTCACTGGGCAGCTCTGGTTTCCTGGGGAGGCGGGCCCCGTGGGTATTTTCAAGTAGGTCTGAGGGGCCGTATGGGTGGGGGGTCTTGGGCAAATGAGGCGGTCTGGGGTCGACTTGGAGCCTGGGCGAGCCTTGGGCGCTGCGAGGGCCCCTCTTGGGCACCATGGGGTTCTTCTTATGCTTTTGAAGGTCCTTGGCCTGAGGGCTCGCTCGTTCGCACGCGTCCTCGATTGCGCGCCCGTGGTCTCGCGTGGTTCCCAGGGCGACCGCGCGCCTCCAGGAAGGGCGCGATCGCCCCTGGAGCACGCGGCCATTCGGCGTGCAGTCTAACGCGCACGCGCTTTTGGAGCCATCGCTGGGCGAGGGTCGGTCGTCGGTCGAGGTCGGGCGGCGCAGTTTGCGGCACGAATGTTTCCCTTGGGCGCCCGAGGGTGCCGTGCGATTCCGCTCCGCACCCCCCGACCTCCTCCCCCGCCATTCCCCAGATGCCCCTCGCCCCCCTCCCCCGCGGGGGAGGGCGGATTGGGGGGGTGGCAGCGGTCACCTTTAAGATGCACCAGCTCTGCACTGCTTACATCGGCCTTCGGGGGCCGCGGAAACAGATGGGAAACGCATGGCCGCCAGGCTGCGTCGGCCCCGCAGTCTGCCTCCCACCCCCTCGCGCGCCCTCAAAGGCGGCCGCTGGCGAAGAAGGTTCTGATTCAGATGGGGGCGACCCGCCTGCAGGACCAGGCCCTGGCCCGCTGCCGCCGCCGCATTTGCATTCTGATCTGAGGTTTCAGATGACGGTTCGTGGCGGCGGCCGCATTCGTTACTACAGGCGGCCTGCAGGCGAATCCATCATAGAGTGCATATGCTCGAACCCTCTCCATGGGAAGTGTGTGAAAACCTTGCGCATGACCCAGTCGGCCACCCCCGACGTTTTCCCAGGCATGGGGAGGCCCATGGGGTTTGCGTTGTGCTGGCTGGTTTGCAACCGCCAGGGTAGCCATGCAGATCACCTGTCGTTTCGGCCCAGCCCTGTCGAAAGGCGCGTCCATAGGGTTGCGGGTCGGGCCGAGTATGACGCCGACTGGCGGAAGTTCGAGGCGGCCGAGCGGCCGCGGCGGGACGGCGAGGACTCAGAGCCTGAGCACGACCCGTCAGCATTTTGATTGTTGATGTTTCGCATGTCGCATCGGTGCCAGTGAACGTGCGTTTCTCAGCTTCTCCGATCCCTCCCCCAGTGCATGATGAGGAGGAGGGTGATGATGAGGAGGGTGAGGGGGAGTGAAATCAGGAGGCATGGCTGATGAGGGTGAGGAGGGTGACGAGGATGTGGAGGATGATGGGGAGGAGGAGTGATGAGGGGGAGGAGTCCGAGGAGGAGGATGAGGAGGAGGATGAGGAGGAGGAGTGAAATAAGTTTGGCACCTGATTGGGGTTGCGCCGTTGGTGGGTACTGATACGGTTATTCGAATAACGCATGCAAATATTACAGCTGCAGCAACAACTACTGCCACTAGAACTTGTGCTACTGTTAAGGCTACGGCTGCAACCACTACTATGATATGTTTTTGGATGGGCTGGTGGGGATACGCGAATCGCGAAGACTTGCTTCGCTCACGCGGATGGCGGGCATGCGTTGTTCAAAATGAAGCTTTCCCTTCAGCGCCGCGCACATTAGTCTTCAACGCTTGCGACGGTTGCGCGGATGGGGGGGGGGGGGCTCCTTTTCAGAATGGGGCCTCCCGTTGCCTCGCTCCTATCCGCCGCGGCTGAGGCGACACCGCCCCCTAGGCGCGCCTTGCCTTACCCTACCTCCCCCTCCGTGGCGGTGCCACTGCTCGCGCCCCACCCGCACAGGAGCCTCGCCAGGCGGGAGGCGTTGTGCCTGGCCTTCGGGCCCCGCCCGACGAAGCTCCTGGGGTGGGGGGGGGGGCGGCTCTGGCGCGGGCAGTGGCCCCGCCCTGCGCCCTGTTTACGCGAGCCTGGTTGCCACCGTCGCTGTTCCCCGTGCATTGTTGTCCGTCTTTGTCCAGGGGGTGCTCATTGCGCTCGCGGCGCTGGGCGGCCCCGAAAACGTAAACCACTGGGTGCTGCAGGCTGGCTGTGGGCATGGCCGCTACCCCCATGCATGTGCGCAACGTGCGTGTATCTATGTGTGCATGTGCGCGTTGCGTATACATATATATGTGTATGAATTGTACGCGAGTGTATACTTATATGTTTTGCTTGTATGTGTGAATATACAGATGCGTGGGTGTATGCATATGTATTCGTTGGTGCGATCGTGCGCGCGCATGAGTTATTTGTAGAAGGGGACGACGCGAAAAAAAATACATATTCCTCGCATATACCTAATAGAACGGCATCTTTAGGTTAAACAGATCACGAGAGATAACGAGGGAAAGATATCATGTTGTTTAAATATGCAATTCTGCACAGAGAGAAACCCTGGGAGTGAACGAGTGAGATTTGCGTAGCTAGGGCCGTGGGCCCCACCGTGGCCGCCCAGCACCATCGCCGCCATCATGGCGACGATGGGTGTGGAGATCTGGGCGCTGCGGATACCGCTGCTATGAGGCCGCCGCCCCGAGCGGCTGCCTGTAGCAACTAGGCGCGTCGTGCCATGCTCTCAGCACCAGAGGGGAATGGCAATGGTAATGGTGCCTCTGGTCACGGTCGCGATGACAACGGCGCTGGGGGCGACGCGCGAAGGCGCGGCTCCAAACGTTATGTTGTTAATTCGTCCCCGCGAAAACCCCGACCGCAGGGCGCCGAGGACATCGTCGCCACTCGGCGCAATGGTGTCGGAATGGCCCCATCCGCTGTTCTTTCTCTCGGCGCGATAATTTCCACATGGCCCCTCCGATGCGTTTTCGCGCGGCGCCATTGTTTCGAAATGCCCCGTCCTATTTGTTGCATTGTTAAAATAGAGCGTTCGTTACCCGCGCCCCGCCCACCCGCTGAAAGCACGCGGGGTAGCATGTGTGGGTTATATGCAGGCTGCGAAGAATATACCACTTATGCACATGTGCCTATGGTTATATAACGGAGCGATATCAATACATACCTGTCATAGAGGCCACGAAGAGAGAGAGAGAGAGAGAGAGAGAGAGAGAGAGAGAGAGAGAGAGAGAGAACGATCGAGAAAACCAGAACGAGAGAGAGAGAGGGAGAGAGAGAGAGAGAGAGAAGGGGGAAGAGTGTGAGTGTAGTGTAGCCAGGGCCATGGTGATCACCATTGCCGCCCGCCACCATCGCCACCATCATGGCGGTGATTGTTGGGGTGAGTTAGGCGCTGCGCGTCTGGTGGCCAGGGGTTGCTGCTTGGGGCGGCGATCCGAACGACGAAAGGTTTTCGGCGAGCTCGCCATCATCATCGTCGGCAGCGCCATCGCGGCCACGGACATGGGCATCATCAGTGCTACCACCACGACCACTTGGCGATGAGGGAGTGCTTGGCGCGGCAATCGCATCGCCCATGGGTCGATTCTTGGGCGGGGCCAGGGTACGGGCGGGGGCCAGGGTACGGGTGGGGCCAGGGCACGGGCGGGGGCCAGGGTACGGGCGGGGCCAGGGTACGGGCGGGGGCCAGGGCACGGGCGGGGGCCAGGGGCGAGGGGCGCGGCCGCGGGCGCGGTCGACGTGGGCGCGCGAGTGCAGCACGACCCCCAGGACGACCATGTCAGGGACCATGCGGGCGGGGGGGGAGGGCGAAAATCTGCTCCCGCCGACCATGTGCTCGGACCGAGGCCCCCGTCTGGACCATGCCGAGGACCATGTAGACGGGGGGGGTACCGGAATTTCTGCCCCCCCCGACCATGCGTTCGGACCAGAGCCCCCGACTGGACCATTCCCACTACCATGTGCCAGCGGAAATCTCCGGAATTTTTAACATCCCGACCTCCTAAACCACCACCCTCTTGGGGCGCGGGAAATTCGGTCCCCGACCATTTGGACTACCATTTTTCTCAGGACTTCAGCCCTGGGACACCGGAATTTTTAACGATTCCAGGCCGACGGAGGCGGCCCCGTGAGGAGGTCCAAAAATGATCGGGAGGCCGTCGGCCGACCATGTGC